ATACTTGAAAATACAGAGGGTTTCACTTTTTGCTTTGTTGTATTGGATTTGACTCAAACTTGTAGTTTTTAATTTAGGCCAAAAAGTTCATATATTTGCAGTGTTGTCTTGCAGTATTCCTTAACTGCCTTGTTGCAAACAGAATGGATGGATTTTTTTTTAACACAGTTTCCTTCTTTTCACTTTGTCAAACAGGCCAGTAATGTGGAGTGAATGCAATGTTGTTGATCCCTTTGTATTTTCTAATATTGTGGTGACAGCATCATATTATGGATATGCTTGTCACCGGCAGGGACTGGGGAGTTTGTTAGGATCAAAATAAATATGAAAGGAGCAAAGCCAAGGTAAAAAATTTCAGGAAAACCCGCCTCAGTCTTCTGAAAACCTAACCCTGGGATAGAGTTTTATTTTATAGCAATGTTAATGCCAAAGACACACCAGAATTGCTTTCCAAGAGGTGTTGAGTGTTCCTGAATGGTCCAGGTTTGAATATTGCTGTCCATCATTGATTCCCAACCAAATTGACTGAGCTTGAGCAATACAATCGGGGATCCATCAAAAATACAACTACAAAATATGCAATCAATACATCCATTTTTAAAAATTATTATTATTTTTCTTTCACTTTGAAAATGTGGAGTCGGTGGTGTCGATTGGTAGGAAGAAAAATCCAATTTAATCCCTTTTTAAGGCAGCTACAGTGCATTCGGAAAGTATTCAGACCCCTTGACTTTTTCCACATTTTGTTATGTTACAGCCTTATTCTAAAATGGATTAAGTAAATACAAATCCTCAGCAATCTACACACAATACCCCATAATGGCAAAGCAAAAACAGGTTTTTAGACATTTTTGCCATTGACTAAAAATTAAAAACAGAAATACCTTATTTACATAAGTATTCAGACCCTTCGCTATGAGACTAGAAATTGAGCTCAGGTCCGTCCTGTTTCCATTGATCATCCTTGATATGTTTCTACAACTTGATTGGAGTTCATCTGTGGTAAATTCAATTGATTAGACATGATTTGGAAAGGCACACACCTGTCTATATAAGGTCCCCCAGTTGACACTGCATGTCAGAGCAAAAACCAAGCCATGAGGTTAAAGGAATTGTCCGTAGAGGTCCGAGACAGGATTGTGTTGAGGCAAAGATCTGGGGAAGGGTACCAAAAAATGTCTGCAGCATTGAAGGTCCCCAAGAACACAGTGGCCATCATTCTTAAATGGAAGCAGTTTGGATCCACCAAGACTTTTCCTAGAGCTGGCCGCCCAGCCAAACTGAGCAATGTGGGGAGAAGGGCCTTGGTCAGGGAGGTGACCAAGAACCCGATGGTCACTCTGACAGTGCTCCAGAGTTCCTCTATGTAGACGGGAGAACCTTCCAGAAGGACAACCATCTCTGCAGCACGCCACCAATCAGGCCTTTATGGTAGAGTGGCCAGATGGAAGCCACTCCTCAGTAAAAGGCACATGACAGCCCGCTTGGAGTTTGCCAAAAGGCACTTAAAGACTCTCAGACCATGAGAAACAAGATTCTCTGGTCTGATGAAACCAAGATTGAACTCTTTGGCCTGACTGCCAAGCGTCACGTCTGGAGGAAACCTGCCACCATCCCTACGGTGAAGCATGGTGGTGGCAGCATCATGCTGTGGGGATGTTTTTCAGCAGCAGGGACTGGGAGACTAGTCAGGATCGAGGGAAAGATGAATGGATCAAAGTATAGAGAGATCCTTGATGAAAACCTGCTCCAGAGTGCTCAGGAACTCAGTCTGGGGCGAAGGTTCTCCTTCCAACAGGACAATGACACTAAGCACACAGCCAAGACAATGCAGGAGTGGCTTCAGGACAAGTCTCTGAATGGCCTAGCCAGAGCCCGGACTTGAACCCGATCTAACATCTCTGGAGAGACCTGAAAATAGCTGTGCAGCAACGCTCCCCATCCAACCTGACAGAGCTTGAGTGGATCTGCAGATAACAATGGGAGAAACTTCCCAAATACAGATGTGCCAAGCTTGTAGCATCATACCCAATAAGACTCTATGCTGTACTCGCTGCCAAAGGTGCTTCAACAAAGTACTGAGGAAAGGGTCTGAATACTTATGTAAATGTGATATTTCCATTAAAATTCCATTAAATTAGCAAAAATGTCTAAAAACCTGTTTTTGCTTCATCATTATGGGGTATACTGTGTTGATTGATGAGGGGAAAAAACTATTTAATCAATTTTAGAATAAAGCTGTAACGTAACAAAATGTGAAAAAAGTCAAGGGGTCTGAATACTTTCCGAAGGCACTGTTTATGTGAAGATTGTGCAAGGGGTGTGGACACTTTCACTAGCAACTGTTTCTGAGTGAGAATGACTAACAATGACTGGGGCCCTAAGCAACCGTTTGTGTCACTTATGCCTGGAACCGGCACTGTGGTAGTGGTAGTGGTGGTGACGGCAGAGGTAATGGTAGAAGTAGTAATGGTAGTAATATGGTTTTCATAGGTTTATAGTTATAGTGGGCTAGTAGTAATATATAGTTATAGTGACCTATTTTGTGCTGGTTTGTAGGTGTGGAGTTGTTATAGTGGGCTATAGTGGGCTAGTAGTAATGGTGGTAGTAGTAGTGGTGACTGTGGCAGTAGTGGTGGTGGTAGTATTAGTAGTGGTAGTAGTTACTGCATTATAGGGGTATTAGTAGTGACTGTGGTCAATTCTAGCATAAAGCTTTATTGAAGAAACCTAAGTTGAGTCAGTCTGTATGCCCTGGATCAGAGCTAGAGAATGTGGACCAGAGCTAGACCAATGCTACTAACTATGCCCTGGAAAAGAGCTAGTTAGTGTGGACCAGAGCCAGACCAGAGTTCTGGTCCGGGGTGTAGCTAGCTAGCTCTGGTCAGCATTAGTTCTCATCCGCACTAACTCTGGTCCACGGCGTAGCTAGTAGTTAAAGTTTGAATGGCATTTCTAGCTTAAATGGTTGAAGACCAGTTACGGTGGAAATGTTTACCATTCAAGTCTTAGGCCATTGAAATGCATTGGGATTTATGCAAATATGGTTGTAGTGTGAAAAGTATAAGTAGTATCAAAACGTTTTTTTCAAGCAACCTGGCCAGTGGCAGTCCGGATATTTGAAAGTTGTTTTGGTGTTGGTAGCTTTTACGGTTTTGGCGCTACAGGTGGCAGCGGAAGACGAATAAGAAGAAGTATGAACAGTTTCTAAAGTTGTGGTTTGGGTTTCAGCAAGCACACCTAAAATTGCTTATAATTTGAAAGGTCATGTAATTGCAAATCCGGGATGTGAAAAGGCTATGTCAATTACATTAGCAGTCCACAATTAACCATAATGAAATATATTTCAATATTTTAAAACAATCAACCTGGCAGGAAATATGTTGAAACCCTTGCAGGGCCTGATGATACAGATTGATTCTTCAGTGCTCATAAACGAGATGAAATTACTCCTTATTTGCATTGCATGACTCATGAATATAGACTATCATCTGAATTTCAATTATTTTGCAGCTCCTAAGCTGGCACCATCAACCTTTAGTCATGCCATAAGTGCCTATGAGATTTAATTTTATATTGCTTGCACAGTCACCTGCACCTGATACTCAGCAGCTTATCATTTGTCAGTTCCACCCCAGTCATACACCATTGGATTTCCGGCTTTCCCCGACTACACTCTTTGCGGTTCCATAGCATGATGTTTCCCCCTAGTGGTGTGAATTTAGCCTGGTCCTAGATATGTTAGTGCTTTTTCCTACTCCATTGTCATTATCAAGCCAAACATGTTTTTGCATGACAATTCCATAAGGAGTTGGCAAGAGAGCAGAAAAAGACTGTCAATCAGGTTAGTGTGAATTGCCATTCCACTGAGGATAGGGGCAGTGGGGGACAGACAATAGAATATAAATAGTAGGCCTGTACTTATTTTTTATTTCTTGTCAAAATATTTTCCTATGTGAGCCTATAGGAATCACTTTCATTGCTGATTCATATCCATTATGTTCTCATCTCAACGGAGTTCCTAAACGGGAAACAATCAATGTGTCTAAATGGTATGTATAGCATGTGGCTTTCAGACAATTAGCTATATTTCAACGTGAGGGGATCCTACTGGGTGCAATCATCAGCCTATATGTTCAATCTCAGTAAGAACATTTTATTTATGTAAAAGTATGTTTAAGAAAGGGATAAACTATGACAAACGTCTAAACATTATACTGTAATTATCTCTCATTGGGGATTAAACTATGTTTATAACATCACAAGTATTTACAAACCACATTATGACTCCCAGAGGAGTGTATGAAATACCCATATGGCAATAAATTGTTTTATTTTCCGTGACATGAATTCCATCACATATTTTGATGTTGTTCCATTGATGATGCAATCACTTAATGGATTATAAGGATGTCTCCACTTTGGGGAGAGAAGATAGTCGGATTACTCTTTCGAGATAAATCATAAAACAAACCCTAATTATCAAAGGAATTGTATTGGTCTAAAAGACTGTAGGGTCTTGGATAAACGAATTAGACATGGATTGTGTTAGAGCTCAAAGACGATGTTGGGGACAACAAGGCGTTAATACAACTATTTTCAGGAGAAACAACATAAGCCCAGTTGACTTTTTGACAAGACCGCCCTTAAGCTATTTATTTTCGACCTGTTTACTGTTTGTACAACTTGTTGAGAAAATTAGGACCATCCGATAGGTTGTAATTGAAGAGGATGAAGCTGGCTCGGAGACTGGGAACCTGCGGCGGGATCTGGCCATTGCCCTTGTTTGATGGTTCTTTTGGCACAAACATTTTTCGATTCATTGAACAACCAAACCATTGTCTGCTTGATAAGATTAAGAGCGCTGGATGGACAACTGTCGTCGACAGTCTCAGAGACTTGACCGAGAAGAACTGTGCCATCGGTTTGCAACGCTGCATGCTTTTTTTGTACGTCCTCGCATTTTACAATGAGATCTTTCATTTCATTTCATAAATTCAATGTTCCCTGTTGATGACACCTACATTGAGATACTTGAGAGCGCAACCTTAGGTACCCGGTTCTCTTTAGAAGTTGCATCTGATCAAGATGTCGGTCGAAACGACTGTTTATCCAAAGTTACCATGTTTCAGCGAATAATCATTTCAAGTGCGAATTGACAGGATGGGAGTAGACATGCAGATCAAGTCTTAGTGAAAGAGTTTGACAGAGAAATGGAGGACTCATACCATTGTGGTCATGGCAATGGACGGTGGAAGTCCACCAAGGTCTGGCATACCGACAGTATATGTCAAAGTGATAGATTTCAATGACAACAGGCCAATATTTTTGGACAGCTTCACCAGAGTGGAACTCTATGAGGAAGCTGAAGTATGAGTCTTGCTATCGCAGCTAAATGCAACTGACCCGGACGAGGGCACGAATGGTGAAATAATGAATGGGTTGGTGGAAAAAGCGCCTGCAGACATAGGCTACAACACATCTTTACAATCGATTCCTGTGTGTTTCTCGCTGCAGGGGCTGATTTTGAGAAAAATACGTTTTATAAATTCAAAATATGTACAATTAGGATTGATATTCTAGATGTTAATGATAATGCCCCAGAAATTGTCATAGAACTGTTCGAGTTTGACAGGGTTGCCTACATAACTGAGTCCGCGGCAGAGAGCAGCTTTGTGTCTCTGATCAGTCCAATGGACAGCGACTCTGGGTTCAACGGCTATGTGCGCTGCTCTTTGTACGGCCATGACCAGTTCAGGTTGCAACAGGCATATGGAGGCACGCACATGATTGTGACAACAACAACAACAACGTTAAATAGAGAAATATTACCTGAGTACAATCTGACTGTTGTTGAAATGGACTTTGTAACACCGCTGTTCAAAACCACAGTAAAATACACAATCCGAGTGAGCAAAGAAAACGACAATGCTCCTACGTTCAGTAAATCGTTCTGTGAAGTTTGGGTAGAGGAGAACAATGTAGTAGTGGACACATTTCTAAGATATGTGTTAGCCAATGAACTCGATCTGGGCCAGAACCCTGAGATAACATACCGACTAATTAATGGTATATCCAGCGCAAAATTCCCTTAATCAAAGAGTGTCAATCAATTCAGTTTCAGGCTCAGCATTAGCGTTCTACCTTGAGTTGACCAAAGAAATTGATGTGCAAATACAGGCCAGTGATGGTGGATACCCAGTGCTATCGAACACAACATTGGATAAGAGTTATGGACCAAAATGAACACGCACCAGTGATAACAATCCCCTCGTTTAGTAAATGGAGCCGCTTTCGCGTTCTTGGCGCCTGATGTGTCAACTGATGCTAGGGATCAAAGCGCAAGACGCTGATGAGGGATTGAATGCAAAATTAATGTTCCTTATCTTGGACGAAGCCAACAAATTATTCTCAATAAATGAACAGACCGGAGAAAATATTTAATGTGCAAGTGGGTGTGAAAGATAAGGGCGTCCCACCGCTAATGACAAAGCTAAAGGTTAATGTAATTTCTGCCCCACGAACATCCATTGACAGGCCAGACAATAGATAAACATGAGTCAACATTTGCCAAATCTTACACAATTGGGGAGTTGTGTATTGATGGCCTTGGCCTACAAAGCGATGAAAAGAAGAGGCCACTACAACACTAATTAAAAAGAAGACTAGCAATCTGCCAAAAAAAGTACATTTCATCATCGGAAGTTGAAGGCCATCACGCCCTGTGTGAATCATGCTCATCTGTCGATCGTGAAGTTGTGAACACAGCGCAGGCTTTATGTGACGCCTCATTTTCCATCGGCTGCGGAGACCAACATAGTACTGTCGTGAGTTACTTACTGAGTGAGGTGTCTGAGAATTGAGCAGTAGGCTACACTACTGTTCCTGATATTACCGATGATAGGCTATTAATATTCACACGACAAAATGGATCCACAAATGTGTTCTGATAATGGACTTTTCCTTTAATTCAACCCTGTAGATGAATATGCCTTGTGGCACAAGTTATCGGGTCGATGGGTAGCTTTTTGACCTACATGGAAAATATATAGCAATGATGAAGTAAGCCATTTCATATTCTATTGATTGATAAATGCATTTTTCCCCTGTGGAATTGGAGATCTGTCACAACCAGTCACAAGCTAGTAGCCTACATAACCCAGAGAAAAAAGTATGACCTTATTTTGTCCATAGTGTATCTAACGTCATTAACATATAGGCTGTTTATGATAGGGTATTTATGTGTCCATTTTGCCACCAAAAATTCAATTTCCAAGGACAAGATTATTGGGGGCTTCCCTGACCATACAATCATTGGATATGGAATAAGAATATTCTGACGGTGGTGCATTGTGGTTAGTTGTGAGAGCTTCCTAGAAAATGTGCAACTAATCAATAAGAATGCTCATCTTGATTTAAATTCTACACCATATGTTCATATATCTTATATAATCCGTAGTGATGAAAAGTAGTCTTAGCTTTGTTGAATGGAAAAAACGACAGTGATAATTTGCTAATGAACATTGATCCATCCAGCATCTGGTCCTAGCACTGTACTGTAGGTTCTCTGGCAAAAATCAAGCAACACTTTTTTCCCCTCTTCCTTCAGGGCATGAACTTCAGATGGCTGGATTATGTAAGCTTTTTAAAATCCTGGTGTCTTCTTTGCTCTTCTAAATTGCAGGTTCATTTGATACCGGCCCTAAGCAGTTAGAGGATTCTGTGAAACCAGCACACAGGCCGCATAGCCTAAACAAGACTGTCAACCCATATGCAGAAGATACAGCTTATAATCATCATCAACAACAACAACATCACAAGCAGGAGCAGACGCAATAGAACAACACAAAGGGAAACTGTTTCACCAGAAGAAAATCTATCTTATACACAAACTACCAAAAACTAGAGATTTGCTGCAGATGATTCCGCATTCACTGTAACAAATTGCTGTAAATTTACAGCAAAACTTTTAGTTAGCTACGGTAATTCTATATTACAGTACTGTAAAGATCAATGCATTATGGGGGATCAATGGCATTCCGCTACACTGCTGTAAAATTGCTGTAATTTTACAGCAGCATACTGTGAATTATGGTGCGTTATGGGAAAATGTTGTGGGCGGTGAAATAATCTTTGTCTCATTAACATATTTGGAGGCGTGCCTTGTAAGAGGCTATATTGGTTGCACCCATTAGTGAATTTGCTGTACCCTACAGAATAAAGTACCATACCATATTTTTTGTATATTTGTGCTGTAAATCTACAGAAACTTACTGGCTACTGTGCTGCCAGTAATTTACTGTAATTCAGTACCACCCCCACAGAATACAGTACTGTACTGTAATTTTGGAGCAGCAAAAACCTTTTGTGGGTGGATGGTATTGTTGTTGCTCATTATCACATTTTGAGGCATGCCTTGTAAGAGGCTGTACTTGTTGCACCCATTAGTGAGAGTGCTGTTCTAAATTAAAGTGATATGTGGTAGTAGTTCCCTAACAACTAAATGTATATAGGGGACAGATCAGTGTGGCAGTAAGTCTCAAACCTTTAATGGTTGAGTGTTTGGCCATGTGCTTTTGATCTGTTTTGCCCTGTAGTCACTGCCAGTTTCGAAGCCTTTGTTAAGGCCTCTATAAGTGCAAGTGATATAAAACACCAAATATTCATTGATATGCTGTAACACAGGCTTTCCCAAACTCAGTCATGGGCCCCCACCTGGGTGCACATTGTAGTTTTTTTAACAATACAATTTAACAATAAAGTACTGTATTGCTGTATATTTGATTGTAGCATTCTGTAAATTATGGTGCATTGTGGAAACATTTTGTAGGATAAATATTTTGAGGCATGCCTTGTAAGTTGCTATTTGTTGCACCCATTAGTGAGAATGCTGTAGCAATTTAACTGATATGTGGTAGTCTTGCCTTAACAATTTAATGTATATAGGGAACAGTGGGTCTTAAACCTTTAATGGTTAAATATTAGGCCATGTCCTTTCCATCTGTTTTGCCCTGTAATCACGGTGAGTTTGGAAGCCTTTGTTTAGGTCTCTAGAAGTGCAAGTGATATAAAACACCACCTATTCATAAATATGCTGTAATATACAAATACCTAGCAGCCAACCTGCTTGCACTAATTTACATTTACATCATTTAGCAGACGCTCTTATCCAGAGTGACTTACAAATTGGTGCATTCAACTTATGATGACTTACAAATTGGTGCATTCAACTTATGATAGCCAGTGGATTACTTTTATACTATTCCAGATATTCCTTAAAGAGGTAGGGTTTCAAGTGTCTCCGGAAGGTGGTCAGTGACTCCGCTGTCCTGGCGTCGTGGGGGAGCTTGTTCCACCATTGGGGTGCCAGAGCAGCGAATAGCTTTGACTGGGCTGAGCGGGAACTGTGCTTCCGTAGAGGTAGGGGGGCTAGCAGGCCAGAGGTGGATGAACGTAGTGCCCTCGTTTGGGTGTAGGGTCTGATCAGAGCCTGAAGGTAAGGATGTGCCGTTCCCCTCACAGCTCCGTAGGCAAGCACCATGGTCTTGTAGTAGATGCGAGCCTCAAATGGAAGCCAGTGGAGTGAGCAGAGGAGCGGGGTGACATGAGAGAACTTAGGAAGGTTGAACACCAGATGGGCTGCAGCGTTCTGGATAAGTTATAGGGGTTTAATGGCACAGGCATGGAGCCCAGCCAACAACGAGTTGCAGTAATCCAGACGGGAGATGACAAGTGCATGGATTAGGACCTGTACCGCTTTCTGTGTAAGGTAGGGTCGTACTCTGCGAATGTTGTAGAGCATGAACCTGCAGGATTGGGTCACCGCTTTGATGTTAGCAGAGAACGACAGGGTGTTGTCCAGGGTCACGCCAAGGTTCTTTGCACTCTGGGAGGAGGACACAATGGAGTTGTCAACCGTGATGGCGAGATCATGGAGCGGGCAGTCCTTCCCCGGGATTTACCATAAATACTAACATGATTACAGTAGCATCCACTTTCTTACAGTATAGTAGGCTAATTTTACAGTATTGTACTTTGCATTGCTCTACAATGAATATTACAATGTATCCTTAACTACAACAACATTCCCAGTAACGGTTACAGAAACGTTTTACTTGCTATGACTGTGATATGTTTTTTTTTTTTCTTCAATCAACCTTAGATGAATGTATTGACTGTAAGTCGCTCTGGACAAGCGCATCTGCTAAATTACCAAAATGTAAATGTAAAAAATGTACATTTGCAAAGCACATTGCTGGGTATTCTTCTAATGAGCTCCGCCCTCAAACTATTTGTATTTTGATCAAATTTGGCCTTGTTTGGGGGTGGAGGTCATTAGAATAATACCCAGCAGTGTGCTTTGCAAGCGTTCATTTTTACAATTATACATTTACATTTTACAAAACATTAAGAACACCTTCCTAATATTGAGTTGCACCCACTCAGTGTATGTATTTGTATTACAAAATACGTGTATTCTAATTAAACTGTTACAAAATAGGCTACATGAATTGTAGTTGGGGACAGGCAAAATACAAATTACAACATAGGTATTGAAATACCTACAGAATATAAAATACTGCCCGTGTTGGCACTAGCTACCTACACTAAATCTGAAACAGTTTACTAACCACTGTGCTTCCGGTAATGTACTGTAAATTCTAGAAATACAGCATGTTCCTGTAGTCAGGTGTTCCAGTAATATGCTGTACATTAGTGTTACAGTAAAGGTCCTGTAAATCTACAGTAATTTACTGGCTTCTGTGCTGATAGTAATTGACAGTCAAATGTTATATCCTGGAGGCTGAAAGTCAATCCAGGTCACCTGGGACATATTCCGCTGTTTAACTCCTCAAAACTGAAATATCTGCTATGAAGAAGACTTCCTAAGCACATTTTAAGTTAGTAATGAAAAGCATTCCACTTCCCTAAGGACATTGATTTGATGGAATGATGGACGCTTTTCTTCCTTTAATAAAAATGTAGAATTTTCTGTTGACAGTATGAAAATGGTTTTATTGTGTCAAAATTATGTATATAGACTACTCATTTTGAACAGTACATATTTATTGGAACATAAAGCTACTGAAGTACTGGAAATGTTCTTTAGCCATACAGGCATTTGCTGATGATGCAAGTCAAGCGCTCTATCCAGTATAATTTGTATGGCATTGAAATACATCTTTATCTTTATGTTAAAGATCACTGGTGCTTTTCCCTTGCACGAAAGGAGGATTGTTCTTAATACCACTGGGGATTGATTGTGCCAAGCATCCTTGTGGTTTTTCATAGTAACACTATGTAAGAATTCACTAAGGTATAAATATTGTAAACATCATTACAGAATTGGATTTGCTCATTATTTTGTCTAAACTAGCACAATATATTTGTATCACACAATCTGTTTGCCATCACAATGGACTTTGCTTAGATGCATATTGATTCAGTTTATACTGTAAGCCATCATAACTAACACAAACAACATTATAATTGTTTGTTTATATACCTTATCATTTCATATATTATATACAGTGCCTTCAGAAAGTATTCATACCCCTTGACATATTCCACATTTTGTTGTGTTACAACCTGAATTCAAAATTGATTAAATATATATTTTTTCTCATCCATCTACACACAATACCCGATGATCACAAAGTGAAAACATGTTTACATAAGTATTTACACCCTTGAGTCAATACATGTTAGATTCTTACAGTGCATTTGGAAAGTATTCAGACCCCTTGAATATTTCAACATTTTGTTGAAATATAACATTTACATAAGTATTCAGACCCTTCACTCAATACTTTGTTGAAGCGCCTTAGGCAGCGATTGCAGCCTCGAGTCTTCTTGGGTATGACGCTACAAGCTTGGCACACCTGTATTTGGGGAGTTTCTCCCATTCTTCTCTGCAGATCCTCTCAAGCTCTGTCAGGTTGGATGGGAAGCATTGCTGCACAGCTGTTTTCAGGTCTTTCCAGAGATCTTAGATCGGGTTCAAGTCCGGGCTCTGGCTGGGCCACTCAAGGACATTCAGAGACTTGTCCCGAAGCCACTCCTGCGTTGTCTTGGCTGTGTGCTTAGTGTCGTTGTCCTGTTGGAAGGTTAACCTTCTACCCAGTCTGAGGTCCTGAGCGCTCTGGAGCAGGTTTTCATCAAGGATCTCTCTGTACTTTGCTCCGTTCGTCTTTCCCTCAATCCTGACTAGTCTCCCAGTCCCTGCCGATGAAAAAAATCCCCACAGCACGATGCTGCCACAACCATGCTTCACCATAGGGGTGGTGCCAGGTTTCCTCCAGACGTGACACTTGGCAGTCAGGCCAAAGAGTTCAATCTTGGTTTCATCAGACCAGAGAATCTTGTTTCTCATGGTCTGAGAGTCTTTAGGTGCCTTTTGGCAAACTCCAAGCGGGCTGTCATGTGCCTTTTACTGAGGAATGGCTTCCGTCTGGCCACTCTACCATAAAGGCTTGATTGGTTGAGTGCTGCAGAGATGGTTGTCCTTCTGGAAGGTTCTCCCATCTCCACAGAGGAACTCAGGAACTCCCAGACCAAGGCACTTCTCCCCCGATTGCTCAGTTTGGCCGGGCGGCCAGCTCTAGGAAGATTCTCGGTGGTTCCAAACTTCTTCCATTTAAGAATGATGAAGGCCACTGTGTTGTTGGGGACCTTCAATGTTGCAGACATTTTTTGGTACCCTTCCCCAGATCTGTGCCTCGACACAATTTTGTCTCGGAGCTCTATGGACAATTCCTTCGACCTCATGGCTTGGTTGTTGCTCTGACATGCGCTGTCCACTGTGGGACCTTATGTAGACAGGTGTGTGCCTTTCCAAATCATGTCCAATCAATTGAATTTACCACAAGTGGACTCCAATCAAGTTGTAGAAACATCTCAAGGATGATCAATGGAAACAGGATGCACCTGAGCTCAATTTCGAGTCTCATAGCAAAGGGTCTGAATACTTATGTAAATAAGGTATTTCTGTTTTTTATTTTTAATACATTAGCAAACATTTCTAAAAACATGTTTTCTCTTTGTCATTATGGGGTATTGTGTGTAGATTGCTGAGGATTTTTATTTATTTAATCAATTTTAGAATAAGGCTGTAACGTAACAAAATGTGGAAAAAGACAAGGGGTCTGAGTACTTTCCGAAGGCACTGTGTATACTCAGTGGCAGAGATGATATGGGATTATAATGATGATAGAACTACGTGAGTTTGTATTTTGAATTTCGTGGTCGCACATAGAGATTCACCCCAAACAAAACACTTTGTATTCAAGACAAATAGTGAATTGCTTTGCAACATTTTTAGCAGTGCCTTATTGCAAACAGGATGCATGTTTTGGAATATTTGTATTCTGTACAGGCTTCCTTCTTTTCACTCTGTCAATTAGGTTAGTATTGTGGAGTACCTACAATGTTGTTGATCCATCCTCAGTTTTCACAGCCATTCAACTCTGTAACTGTTTTACAGTCACCATTGGCCTTCTGGTGAAATCCCTGAGCGGTTTCCTTCCTCTCTGGCAACTGAGTTAGGAAGGACGCCTGTATCTTTGTAGTGACTGGGTGTATTGATACACCATCCAAAGTGTAATTAATAACTTCACCATGCTCAAAGGGATATTCAATGTCTGCTTTTTAATTTTTTACCTATTTACCAATTTACCAAATTTCTTTGCGAGGCATTGGAAAACCTCCCTGGTCTTTGTGGATAAAATCTGTTTGAAATTCACTGCTCGACTGAGGGACCTTACAGATAATTGTATGTGTGGGGTACAGAGATGAGTTAGTCATAAAAAAATCATTTTAAACACTATTATTGCACACAGAGTGAGTCCATGCAACTTATTAAGTGGACTGTGCAGGCCAGTGATACAAAATCTAAATGTAATACATTTTACATTCAGGCTGTAACACAACAAAATGTGGAAAAAGTCAAGGGGTGTGAATACTCTGAAAGCACTATATATATGGGTTAATGGGAAAGTCAATCCCAGTGGGTAAAGTTTAGTCATGCTAAACAATCTCATTAACATTTATGCACATACTGTATCTCTCATTGTTTTAATATTGTGTTTATTCATAAAACAAACACCAATGTTTTCACAAATGTTCATACAATAAGAAAATCAATATATACACATAGCCTACATCTTCACAATATAATCAAATAAGAAAATATACATAAGCTGTTTTCATTATGCATCAAGTTGCTTCTCTTTTCATACATGAAATGTCCATATGGCCAATACATTTTACAGTATTTTCCAATTGTCTAGTTTGACCAGTATCTGTACAATCTAGTGAATAATACAGTATCTATAAATAACCAATTGTATATTTACTTGGCAGGTTGTTTAAAAAATGGTGGCAACTTCAGATATGGTTGCCACTGTAGTAATATCTTGGTTGTACTCCTGAATTTCAGCAAGTCCGGCAGCAGATTGTCTCTTTTGATGGGCAAAGTAAGAAGGGAGTGTACCTGTGTGATGAGAGAACGTCTGCATGGTGTTTCTTGCTTTGGGAATGCTGGTGTTGTAGCCGGAGTCTTTCCAGGAGTGGGAATAGGTATGGGGATTGTTGTAGACTGGTGCTTGGGAAAAGCCAATTGTGTATGCATTGTCTAGTGGGGCCTGGAAGCTTTGGGTTGGTATTACACAATAAGTGCCTTGACAATCCACAGCGAGGGTGTTAGCGGCATGGAATGAACCTGAAATAGAACACACACACGCATACAGAATTACTTTCCAAGGAGTAAAGAATGATATTCGTTGTTGCTGCGCTACCTAGCCAGATGGGTTCTACACTGGTGGTGGAAGGGGTGAGTTATCCCCACACAATGTAATCCGCTGCAGTTTGAGTGCTATAAAGTGCTATAAAAATGCCACTGTTATCTTCATCATTCTGCTACGAGGAACTCTAAAATCTCAGTATGAAATTGTGATGGTAGTAAACTCACTTTTGGCCCAGGGCTGGAAGGTGCTGAGGTTCCTCTTGCCTCCATCCCCACTGATGTCAGAGTCACTGTCATTGAAGTCACTGTCTCCCTTGCCACTGTCCTTTACGCTCTGCTGGTCAATGCCACTGCGAATAGAATCAAACATTAGCCACTGCACCGCTGTATCTGATTATTGATGTGTGCTTTTCCCCCCTCTTATGAAACCTGCCACCACCCGCCCCCTCTCTCCGGACAACAACTGCAATCACATGTACAGATATAGGATCTTAATTTGAGCCAGTTTAATACAGCAGGAAAATTATCCTGCAACAACAGAAAATGTGAATTATAATGTGGATTATAATTAATGACTTGACGATGATCCAACTTGGATCGAAACGTTGTCTGTTTTGTCCGTCTGGTTTAATCACCATGGGAGCTTACCAGAGTTGCGGACATTCTTTTTTCTTTGATACGTTCTTCTGTCCTGCACCTGATAAGTTGGATGTGCATATTTGTCTATTTTTTAAATGATAATTAATGGACGTTTTTTGTAGGGGTTGATATATTTTTTGTTAGAGCAAGTCAAGTCTGACATTTTAAAGTGGAAATTACACACTTTAGAAGCCTTTTTAAACCTTGAATAAACAATAAGTTTGCATGTACTGTTGTGCAGGAAAATTCTAAGCAACAAAAGAGTGATTCAATTAAAATCCTACATCTGCAGTATGCATATGGGATGTTAAGTAACTTCCAGTGACTGGTTATGTAAATGTTTTCTCATGGAAAATAATAATTGTGATAAAAGAGCACATCATGCCAAGTATGAGGAATGTGGTGGTATTCTTACCTCATTTGCAGGCAGTATTTGTCCCCTTGCCACATAGATGTTGGTAGGAAAGGCTTGGGAGGCAGGAACATCTAAAGAGCAAACACAAGAGAACAGGATGGGAATTAATTTCAGCTACTTAGATCAGGAGTAGTGATACACTTGAATGTGTACAGTTGTACAGTATTTAAACACTATTGAAATTGAATGAAATATTTCACTCACCTGTGACTCCAAATCTCCATTTTTCTCCTCATACAGGCTGGACTCATCAAGAGATGAAGAGGTCCTTTCATTGAGGAAACCTCTTGGTCCACCGTACATGTTGGGTTCTGCAGAGTTGAGCCTGGGATGACGCCTGGAGTCAAACAGGCCATGAGACACGTCTCTCTTGGAGTCTTGATCCTTCCCTCCTCGATTCAGCTTGCATGTGATAACAACAATCACTATGGTAATCAGCAGCAGAGCACAACCTCCGCCGAGCATTATGATAACTACTACTGAAACATCCAAGCCTGCGTCTTCCTCATCACTTGACCGTAATACAATGACAACTTGGTCATCTGAGAGCTGCGAATCTGTGACAACAAAGCAAATGGTGGCACTGCTGGAGAGGGGGGATCTCCCATTGTCGCTCACTGCAATTTTGATTTCCAAAACATCTCCAATAGCAGAGGCCAGCCCCTGTTTTAGAGCTATTTCTCCAGTGTCTTTATTGATTGAAAATAGCTTAGAGTCACCTTGTACAATTCTGTAGCTGAGCTCACCATTCATGCCCTCATCCTCATCCTGACCCTTGACCCGTAGGGCCAGGTACCCCAGTGGTGCATTGACAGGAAGAGGAACTTCAGCAGAGTCATTCAGCATAACAGGAAAGGTGAAACAGGGATAGTTGTCATTCTGATCAACCACTTTGATTCTGATCATGGATGTGCTTGACAGCTGAGGTGAGCCCTTGTCGTCAGCCTGGATGGTTAATTCAATCTGTTGGAGGGTTTCAAAATCGAAAGATCTCAGACTATACAATGACCCTGACATTGGGTCTATAGACACATAAGTCGAAATGGAGGCCTCCCCCACTACATCTGAATCAATTAGTTTGTATGAAACTTTGGCATTTTTACCCATATCAAGGTCACGTGCTACAACAGTAGTTATATATGACCCAGGGATATTATTTTCCAGGACAGAAACTTCATAAATGGATTTACTGAAGAGGGGGGCGTTGTCGTTCTCGTCGGTCACTCTGATGGTATACTGCTTCACCGTTTTGAAAGGTGGTGTTCCGAGGTCTTCAGCCACTACAGTGAGGTTATACTCTGGGATCTTCTCTCTATCTAAAGTGCTGGTTGTTACAATCATAAAAGTGTCCCCGTAGGCCTGCTGCAGCTTGAAATGATCGTGGCCGTGTAGGCTACTGCGCACGTAACCGTTCGAGCCAGAGTCACTGTCCGAGGTGCTGATCAGCGCCACAAAACTTTCCTCCGCTGCGGCCTCGGTGATGTAAGCTACACCATCACTAGTCGATGTCATTGGCTTGATGGTGATTTCTGGTGCGTTATCATTTACATCTACAACATCAACAACAACTTTGCAGGTCGATGGAATAGAATTTGTGCCCAAATCGGATGCTTTAATGTACAATTCATAGGACCTCTTCTTCTCATAATCAACCAATGTTTTTAAAGTTACAGCACCGGAAATTCGGTCTATATTAAAAATGCGCATTGTTTCAGATGATGTGTCCTCTACAAATCCATACACTACTTCGCCATTGATGCCAGCATCTGGGTCAAACGCATGCACTTTCAGTACTTGGTAACCTATGGGTGAATCCTCATAAAGTTCAACTTTCAGTGAGTTGTGCTCAAACGTTGGGCTGTTGTCATTAAAATCCAGCACTTTGATATGAACAGTCATTGATCCGGACCTGGGTGGCTCTCCCCCATCTGTTGCCGTCACTTCAATTGTGTAGGAATCTTCAGCCTCTCTGTCCAGTGCTTTCACAAGCACAAGTTCAGCATACTTCACTTCATCCTCCCTGCTGCGCACATCAACTATGAAATTGCTGGAGGGAGAGATATGGTAACGTTGGATGTAGTTATTGCCGACATCATGGTCAACAGCGATGTCCAACGGGAATCGTGAGTCCACCTGAACATTCTCGGATATCTCAAGGGTCGTCTCGTTGTGGAGGAACTGGGGTGAGTTATCATTGATGTCCTTTACCTCGATCTCCACGTGAATCAGCTGAAACTTTTCTTTGGAGAAGGCAACTATGTCGAAGGTGACAAAACACCGCGGGGACCTTGGGCAGAGATGCTCTCGGTCAATCATTTCCCCAACTGTTAAAAGTCCATCGATCTCCCTCATTTGAATCACAGACGAATTGGTCTCCTGCATGAAGCGGAAAGATGTTTCAGGGTTCTCTGCTGGGTCTATCTTTAAATCCTGAGACAGATTTCCAATCTCTGACCCGGGCGCATCCTCTTCATAAGTGTAATACCTCGTAGTTGTAGACTGAACCGAGTAGAACAGAACAGCAAGCACCACGCACTCTCCAACTCTTCGAATCCCGCAGAATCCCATTTTAAAGGTCAATGAAGATGACGAAATAAAACTTCATAAAGAAAACGAGCTGGAAGTAAACTTGTTGTGATGTTGAGCTCGCTTGCCACGACCAACTGGATTAGATACAGTCCAAAGACAGCATTGACATATAAGCTTTGATTTATGCAAATTAGTTGTCTAACCGACCAATGGCATTCAACTGGCCAGCCAAATGGGGCATGTTTGGTTTCCGGCTTGTGCCAATTACTGCAGCCCCTCTCATTGACTGTGTGCAAACAGTCTTTTTAAATACAATGGTAATGGCATTTGATAATGATAAGGAAAACTGCCTTACAGTGAAGTATGTATATTGTCACTGCTTCAATAGACTATTAATCCAGTTGGACTTTTTCTATCTGAATAAATAACTTTCATTCACAGGTTATTTGAGACTGATGTGTTGGTCTGTTTATGAATACAGAAAAACAATAATCACCAACACTGTATAACAGAAATATATGTACCATGCATTCACTATAAATACTGTGAATACTTTATTAACCATGTATTAACCACCCAATAATATTATGGCATTTAAGTACTTTTCTGTTGTGAATTAACAAACCATGAACAAATTGTAAGTCACCAATTGTAATACTTACAGTGAGGGAAAAAAGTATTTGATCCCCTGCTGATTTTGTACGTTTGCCCACTGACAAAGACATGATCAGTCTATAATTTTAATGGTAGGTTTATTTGAACAGTGAGACACAGAATAACAACAAAAAAATCCAGAAAGACGCATGTCAAAAATGTTATCAATTGATTTGCATTTTAATGACAGAAATAAGTATTTGACCCCTCTTCAAAACATGACTTAGTACTTGGTGGCAAAACCCTTTTATAAATGCACAATTTTCCGCATATGTAGACACTTGTACGGTGCTGGAGATTAGTTCATATGAGGTTAAAAAGTGGTGGAATTGCCCTTTAAACAACTTTGAAATACCCTTTGCTTAACCTTGTGTGCAAGCTTAGACTACATTTTGGTCAACATGCAAGGGTCAAATGGTTACACTAGCCAACAACAGTTGTTGGGGTGTAGCCTACTAGTACTACACGAATGTGTGTGTCCCTACCAGATTTAAGTTTGACACAAAAGAACATGTGTACTATTCAACTAGCTTTTGACAAACATATGGATGATTAGTGTGTGTTGATTAAAAATACAGTGTTGGGCTTCAAAGGGCTCAGGTCTGACTGACACCTTCCACAAGTTGGAGCTAAATCTGTTTGAGCCCCTGTTGGAGCAAGCACAGGAAGGCGTTAAAAATGACACACTTAAAAAGAGTCACTGGGGCACTAAGCATTTGTTGGTCTACTGACTCTGGTAAAAATAGTTAAAATAGAATTTAACACAAGGTAATCCACATTAGAGAATGTGATAGTTTGAGGCTGGTTTTACCTGTCAGCTGTGCCAAGAACAGTGCACCATCAATTAATTATAACTGTCTGGAATTCAATCAAACATGAACCTGCCATTCCAATAATTACAGCAGTGTCTTTGTTCACAAACTGCTGCCCGCTCATACAAACACTTCTTATTTTGAGTAAACATCAATCTGAGAGGTTTTTACAATAACTAAAACCATTAGTATGTCATTTTATTTTATTTGATGATGGGAAAAATAGATATACTGTGCAAGCACAGCAATGTTGGTTCAATTGATGTGAGCTCATAGTTACAAGTGAATTGCCAGCTAATCTTAACACTTGTCCAGTGCTGGCCACTGATTGGCTGAATTCCTGGGGCGTGGGGTGGTTGGAGTTGTCAACAAAGCAGCATGACAGAAATATGATGGCAAGTTTTCAGACTGCCGGTTTCTTTGAGATTACAGTGAGGGAAAAAAGTATTTGATCCCCTGCTGATTTTGTACGTTTGCCCACTGACAAAGACATGATCAGTCTATAATTTTAATGGTAGGTTTATTTGAACAGTGAGAGACAGAATAAAAACAAACAAATCCAGAAAAACGCATGTCAAAAATGTTATAAATTGATTTGCATTTGAATTAGGGAAATAAGTATTTGACCCCTCTGCAAAACATGACTTAGTACTTGGTGGCAAAACCCTTGTTGGCAATCACAGAGGTCAGACGTTTCTTGTAGTTGGCCACCAGGTTTGCACACATCTCAGGAGGGATTTTGTCCCACTCCTCTTTGCAGATCTTCTCCAAGTCATTAAGGTTTCGAGGCTGACGTTTGGCAACTCGAACGTTCAGCTCCCTCCACAGATTTTCTATGGGATTAAGGTCTGGAGACTGGCTAGGCCACTCCAGGACCTTAATATGCTTCTTCTTGAGCCACTCCTTGTTGCCTTGGCCGTGTGTTTTGGGTCATTGTCATGCTGGAATACCCATCCGCGACCCATTTTCAATGCCCTGGCTGACGGAAGGAGGTTCTCACCCAAGATTTGACGGTACATGGCCCCGTCCATCGTCCCTTTGATGCGGTGAAGTTGTCCTGTCCCCTTAGCAGAAAAACACCCCCAAAGCATAATGTTTCCACCTCCATGTTTGACGGTGGGGAGGGTGTTCTTGGGGTCATAGGCAGCATTCCTCCTCCTCCAAACACGGCGAGTTGAGTTGATGCCAAAGAGCTCCATTTTGGTCTCATCTGACCACAACACTTTCACCCAGTTCTCCTCTGAATCATTCAGATGTTCATTGGCAAACTTCAGACGGGCCTGTATATGTGCTTTCTTGAGCAGGGGGACCTTGCGGACACTGCAGGATTTCAGTCCTTCATGGCGTAGTGTGTTACCAATTGTTTTCTTGGTGATTATGGTCCCAGCTGCCTTGAGATTATTGACAATATCCTCCTGTGTAGTTCTGGGATGATTCCTCACCGTTCTCATGATCATTGCAACTCCACGAGGTGAGATCTTGCATGGAGCCCCAGGCCGAGGGAGATTGACAGTTATTTTGTGTTTCTTCCATTTGCGAATAATCGCACCAACTGTTGTCACCTTCTCACCAAGCTGCTTGGCGATGGTCTTGTAGCCCATTCCAGCCTTGTGTAGGTCTATAATCTTGTCCCTGACATGCATGGAGAGCTCTTTGGTCTTGGCCATGGTGGAGAGTTTGGAATCTGATTGATTGATTGCTTCTGTGGACAGGTGTCTTTTATACAGGTAACAAGCTGAGATTAGGACCACTCCCTTTAAGAGTGTGCTCCTCATCTCAGCTCGTTACCTGTATAAAAGACACCTGGGAGCCAGAAATCTTTCTGATTGAGAGGGGGTCAAATACTTATTTCCCTCATTAAAATACAAATCAATTTATAAAATTTTTGACATGTGTTTTTCTGGATTTTTATGTTGTTATTCTGTCTCTCACTGTTCAAATAAACCTACCATTAAAATTATAGACTGATCATTTCTTTGTCAGTGGGCAAACGTACAAAATCAGCAGGGGATCAAATACTTTTTTCCCTCACTGTATAAAGCAATCTGTTTATTTAAACAACAGCATAAATACACCTATTTCACTTTTGCATGTCAAAAACCCAATGACCACTGCTGCAGATGCTGCCACCATTTAGAACAAGCAGTCAGCTCATGAACAAATGGGTGCAACAAGCATGCAGATGCAATAAGTGAAAACACATGATCTAATCTGGGGATAGCTAGCTAACATAATGTTACAAAGTATGATGCCCTAGCCAGTTAACTTTCATTCTGAAATAACTTAATATTTCAGAGTTAGTCAGATATTAGTTTAGAATGGCATGGGAGCTAACTAGCTAGCAATCTACCAGCTAGCTATAGCTATCTAGCTGCTTATCAAAGGTAGATAACTGTTTAATTTGACCCAAAAATGTACCAAACTATTTCTCAATGTTTCAATAAATGACTGTATCTGGCTAATTAATTTGATCATGCTTTGTGATACACCTGGTTTTATGCTGTTTTAGTCCACACAACATGTCACCCTGTCACCTACAGTAGAACCTGATGAACACCATAGGGAGAAAATTGGCCAGACACCGTCATGCATTTTTGTCCTACCAGATCCGCAATGAGAAGGTTCTAGCTAGTGTATCCCTCTGTCCGTCAACTCTTTTTGGTTGTAGATGTCCGGGTTATCAGGTCCCAGGCTCCCATGACTGTTATGATTATTTATTTACAAGTTAATTATAATTTACTTTTTGCTTTAGCGCCATCTGTACCTGATAGAGCATATCTTGTCTCACATGCGGAAATAAGCCGTCTGGCGTGAAAGTCTCATTGGGAGGGAGACTAGAGCAGATCCAGAAGTTCTGACTGAATGCACATTTGAGCACCCCAAGACGTTCCGTTTACTTTGTGCTGTTATAATTTATGCTATGAAATCCTGCGATTTCATTGGGGCAGTTCACTCTCATAGCAAATAGTTGGCAAAACAATCCAAGCAATGTCCATCTTGATACGCCGTAGCCAGTATACACTTCCTCAAGTCATAATTAATCTAAGATAACTCAAGAAATCTGTCATTCATTTTGACGTTTTTGTCGAGAAGATCTTAGTAGCTTAATTTGACATATAACTAAGATGTTTGGTGCAGTATTTCTCAAGTACAAAAATGTGCATGAAAACGAGTCGTCTCTCGTTGAATGACAACAAACATTTAATTGAAGAATCCCTACTGTTGACCAATCACCGACGAAGTGGCGTAGACTTCGGGTACCGAACTTCAGCTTGCCTTGAGAAAAAATGTTGTGTGCGCGAACAGCTGAAAAAAACCTTGCCGGAGAACAAAACGAACAAAAACGTCACAAAATGTCGCCATAATATATGCACGAACCATTTCGAATGGGAAGCATGCGAATGCCTTAACACTCTTATTTCAACAAATTCATTAAAATTATCCATTAATATTATAACCTGTCTTGTGCAAAGCTTTCCATTATATATATATTGATCTATTACTTACATTGAACTCACAGTCTTAGTCAAACAACCTCTTCTCCTAAGAGGTACAGGCTCTGTTGTGTTTATA